CCTAGCAGCTAAAATTCCGAACGCATTTTCTATACATCTTCGACCACGTGAAATTCGGTAGTTATAAATTCTCTCTTCTACTGGTCGATTCTTACCTCCATATGGAGGCATCAGATTTTCTTGCAAAGGGAAGGCTTCATCACCAATGAAATAATGTGGAGTTTTTTTTGAGGTGCCCGGAAATGCTGCATCATCAGGAATATTCAGCAGATTATTGTTTAATTTGTCTCCAAACGATGACAACCTTAAGATACCTCCATCACTTTGGGATCCATATGCCCCGATATCAACGTAGGTAAATCGATAGTGGGCATCACACACGGCAAAAAGTACAATACTAAAGGTCTTTTTGTAATTAAAATATAACGTCCCACTTTTCTGTGGAGCTCTCATTACAATATGCTTTCCATCTATTGCACCCAAACAATTTGGAATAGTCCATTCAGAAAAAATACTCTTCTGCAATCCGTTCCCACTCATCTTTGTTAGGTTCTTTTAAAACAACTGGGTGTAAAATTTCCCAGATAACTGTATTTGTTTCATTGATTATATTACACACTGTGGATTTTCCCATTCGATACGAGAATGCCAGCGTTGGAATACTATCCCCAGCAGCTAGATGTCTGCAATTATTAATAATATGTTATTATGTGGATTTTTATGTATACTCATTATATTTACCTTAGAGTTAATGTTAGTCGGACTCCTGGAGTTATAGGTTCTCTGAAACTTGTTTTCTGTAGAGAAGGCCCTACCAGCTTTAGCAAACAATCGAACTGCTCTACAGTTAATCTTGTGTAATTAAAAAACATCTCCACATCATTAAGACGCATTTCTTGCACCAAGTTTTCGTAATCGCCCTGTTCTTTTCTTCTTTCATTGATGGGCCTAACCCACCATCGCCTTCTCTTTTCCTTGTGTAATAATAAATAATATCCACACAACATTGTGCGTAGAGCAGCACTTCTCATTTGCCTCCGTTTTAATATTAGAGACATTATTATTATGTCCGATTATAGTAACCTGCACAACACTTAACAAATATGAACGAAAGACGAAACGCTTCTTTTTAAGGTTATGAGCCGTCGTCTGCGTTTAGATGAACTAATACCAATGACGCTTTACCGGCTTACTTCAAATTAGTCGCCAAATTATAACGCGAAAGCTTAGACCTTACAAGATTCTGCGTTAAGTGCTAAGTATAGTTGCTAATTTGGTTGGTTGTGGATGATCACATTGTTGTGAAAGCGTACAAGGTTCTACGTCTAAGTGTAATTACTAATTGTAAGTGCTAATTTGGACATTGTGAATGAAGCTTTACTGGTCAAAGTTAGCTTTTACTCTAACGTGCCGTGAAAGTTAGGAAATGAGAATATGAAGTTACATTTCCTAGTTAATGCTAACAATTACTACAGAACGTCAGTAAATGTGTTAGTAAGTCTTTGTGGCCGCCTGGAAGTATGCAACCAGTTATACACACAGAATGCAGCCACCGGATTGGCAGTTACAACGCGCAAGCCCAAAGAGGAAACGCCATAGCCGAAACGTAGAGCAAAAAAAAACTCTCTTCTTCTCCGACCACTCACCGTGTCCAGACGTCCTCTTCTCTTCAAGACCTCCACGTGTACATACACTTACAACCTCAGGCTGTGTTATCACATTGTAGTTGGTATTGTAAATAAACCTGTACTAAAACCCGTTTCCGTTAGTAATTCGACGACAACAATTACAATTGGTGACCCCGACGTGATCGAAGAACTACGGGTACGAACATGCCGACTGCCGAAGAACTGCAACAGCAACTCGAAAAACAGCAAGAAGCCATCCGGAAGCTAGAGCAAGAACTCGCCAATACTCGAGCAAGCAAAACCACGGGAGATGAAGAGCTGCTCAAGAACCTCGACGAAGTAAAGGTCACATCGTCGAACTTGAACCGACATTTTGGCGACGCGATCCAGCGTTGTGGTTCGCACAGGTTGAAGCACAGTTTCACACCGCACGGATAACCTCGGACCAGACGAAGTATTGCACCGTGGTAGCGGCGCTAGACTGCAGCACACTCCAGCCAGTCACAGACATCGTAGCGAACCCACCAGACAAAGAGAGGTACGACACAATTAAGAAGAAACTGATAGCCGCCTACACCGATTCCCAGGAGAAGCAGCTACGAAAGCTGATAAACGAGATGGAGCTAGGGGACCGACAACCATCCCAGTTATTCCGCGAAATGAAGGCACTCGCGGGGCAGCAGATGAATAGCGAAGTCGTAAAAACGCTCTGGCTACAGCGACTTCCACCACATGTCCAACTCGTGCTGTCTGCGAGCGAGGGAATACCGCTGGAAAAGATGGCAGAAATCGCGGACAAATTGGCGGAAATACACAGAAGCAACGCTATGACTTCCAGTATCAACGCGATAGGCGCCACCAGCGACACGACGCGGCAGAACACCATCGTACCAACGCAGGAAACTAACCTCATTACGGTAATTGCAGACCTCCAGAAACAGATGGCGGCCTTATCGGTAGCCGTAAATCACCTAAGCAACACGAGAGGGCGCAGTCCCCAAGCACGGCAGAATGACCGTCGAAATCGGTCAAGGACACACAGCAGGCAACGCACGGATCAAAATGGCGTTTGTTATTACCACGCCAAGTTCGGTGTAAACGCCCGAAAGTGTTTCAAACCTTGCACGTTTGTACAGCCGGAAAACTAGAGGCGCCGTCGGGTATCGAGGCGGTACACGACGACGCGCGTCATCATTGTCTCTTCGTCACGGATCCCAAATCCGGTATCAGGTACCTAGTCGATACCGGAGCAGATGTCTCAGTCCTGCCGAAAACGTTTTTAGGTAAGGCTCAGTCACAGACACAAGATACACCCGCCCTATTTGCAGCGAACAACACACCCATCCGCACGTTCGGCCAGAAATTCATGGTGGTTGACTTGAAGCTACGCAGAACTTTTAAATGGGTTTTCATCCTCGCGGACGTCGAGAAACCAATAATAGGGGCCGATTTTCTCGAGTACTACCACCTCCTACCGGACTTGAGAAACCGGAAGCTGGTAGACCCTTTGACACATCTCTCTTCCCCTGGTTTCGTATTGGCCTGCTCCGTACTACGTATTACGACGGTGGCAAAAACCTCCAGTTACCACAACCTGCTGGCGGAATACCCGGAATTGACGAAAGCACCACGCCCGGGAAGTCAAACATCCAGCTCCGTAGTGCATCACATATACACAACCGGCCCTCCTGTAGCTGAAACACCACGCAGACTACCACCGGAGAAACTCAAGGCTGCCAAAGCTGAGATCCAGTACATGTTGGAGCAAGGTTGGTGTCGCCCCTCCAGCAGTCCATGGGCCAGCCCACTGCACCTCGTACAGAAGAAGAATCCTGGGGAATGGCGTCCTTGTGGGGATTATCGGAGGCTGAACGGGGTAACAATCCCAGACAGATACCCCATACCACACATCCAGGACTTCTCGGCCAGACTAGAGGGAAAAACGGTGTTCTCCACGATAGATTTGGTACGTGGTTACCACGAAATACGAGTGGCCGACGAGGACATCCCCAAAACTGCAGTGTGTACGCCATTCGGTTTATTTGAGTTCACAGTGATGACTTTTGGCCTACGCAATGCAGCGCAAACTTTTCAAAGACACCTCAATAATGTGCTCAACGATTTAGACTTTTGTTTCGCATATATAGACGATATTTTAGTTTTTTCCGCCAACCCAGAGGAGCACGTGCGACATTTAAAAACGCTGTTTGAAAGACTGAAGCAACACCAAATCGTGGTTAATGCAGCAAAGTGCGTGTTCGGGGCAAGCGAAGTGGAGTACCTAGGACATAGCATTTCGACTCACGGGACCCGTCCAGCAACCGCGAAAGTGACGGCGATAAGTGATTTTCCTAAGCCGCAAACTGTGAAGGACTTACGAAGGTTTCTCGGCATGATCAACTTTTATCGTCGCTTCGTCAAAAATGCCGCATCTATTCAAGCACCGCTACATGTGTACCTGCGAAATTCAAAAAAGAATGACAAGACGCCAATCAGCTGGACTAATGAGGCGGAAGAAGCGTTCAGCCAGTGCAAGAGCGAGTTGTCGAGCGCTGTGCTGCTAGCACACCCTTCCGAGAACGCCTCATTAAGATTGACCACCGATGCTTCGGATACAGCCATGGGGGCTGTGTTGGAGCAGGAGGTTAAAGGCGACTGGCAACCCCTGGGATTTTTCTCAAAAAAGTTGACCAACACCCAACGAAGGTACAGCACGTACGACCGCGAACTGCTCGCGATATACGAAGCCATCAAGTTCTTTCACTACATGGTAGAAGCGAGAGTCTTCACGGTTAGAACGGACCACAAACCTTTGGTTTACGTGTTCAAACAGAACTCAGAGAAAGCGTCCCCGAGGCAGCTACGCCAACTCGACTTCATCAGTCAGTTCACTACGGAGATAGAACACATCCCGGGCGAAAACAACATGGTGGCGGACACATTATCCCGAGTCAGCGAAGTTCACACGGCAGCAGTGATCGACCCAGACGAACTCGCCTCCGCCCAAGAACAAGACCTGGAGTTGAGAAACCTGCTGAACTCCAGTACCAGTTTGAAGCTACAGAATCTCACACCCATGAATTCGGATACGGCGATCTGGTGCGACACGGCCACAGGGAGAATTCGCCCCTACATACCCCTCCACTTACGAAAAAGGGTATTTGACATGGTACATTCTAAACCACACCCAGGCGGCAAAGCCACATTCAAGGCGGTACATAAAAGTTTCGTGTGGCCATACATGGAACGCAACATAAAAAAATGGGCGCGCGAATGCCTTCCTTGCCAGCGGTCAAAGGTGAGTAGGCACACTAGAACACCCCTAAAACATTTTGAGCTTACAGAATGCCGATTCGAACATGTACACATGGACATCGTTGGGCCATTACCACCATCACAGGGACACCGGTACTGCCTCACGATAACAGACAGGTTCACCCGATGGCCAGAAGTAATTCCAATGACGGACATGACGGCGGAGACGGTGGCGAAAACCTTTTACGCAACCTGGGTTGCGCGGTTTGGTTGCCCCCACCGTATTACAACTGACCAAGGCCGGCAGTTCGAGGCCACACTGATGTCTGCCCTCACAGACCTTTTGGGCACTAAACGTTGCCGAACCACGCCATACCGACCACAGTGCAACGGGATGATCGAGAGGTGGCACAGAACGATCAAAGCCGCCATCATGTGCCACGAGACCAGTGACTGGTACGACATCCTCCCTACGGTGCTGTTAGGTTTAAGGACAACAATCAAGGATGACCTTCAGTGTTCCCCAGCCGAGCTGACTTACGGCACGCAACTACGAATCCCGGGGGAATTTTTCTTCGCAAACGACGAGCCAGAAGTCGACCCCAGCAATTTCGTCGACAAGTTGAGGCTCCACATGCGCAACGTCCGACCAAGACCAGCAACCCACCATGGCCACCACAAGACTTTTGTCCACCCAGAGCTGTCTGACTGTTCCCACATCTTCCTCAGAGATGATTCAGTCAGGAAGCCGCTACAACCACCATACACCGGACCACACCACGTATTACGACGTACAGACAAGGTGATAGTGATAAGCATGAATGGAAGAGAAACCACAGTGAGCCTGGACCGAGTAAAACCGGCTTTCATATCCGCAGAGTCCTGCACTCCGCCTCATGTGCAGCCCCCAACGCAACAGGTCCCGACAACACCTGCGTCGACGAGCACCACCACAAGGTCAGGAAGAACAGCCAGGCCACCAGTGAAATTCCGCGACTACGAAACGTAGTCACTGGGAGGGGACTACTGTGGCCGCCTGGAAGTATGCAACCAGTTATACACACAGAATGCAGCCACCGGATTGGCAGTTACAACGCGCAAGCCCAAAGAGGAAACGCCATAGCCGAAACGTAGAGCAAAAAAAAACTCTCTTCTTCTCCGACCACTCACCGTGTCCAGACGTCCTCTTCTCTTCAAGACCTCCACGTGTACATACACTTACAACCTCAGGCTTTGTTATCACATTGTAGTTGGTATTGTAAATAAACCTGTACTAAAACCCGTTTCCGTTAGTAATTCGACGACAACAATTACATCTTCTTTAAGATGTTATCAGTGAATCAGTGATTGGCCAGTGAACATAACCTCAAAAACATATATTTGTCAGAAATAAAATAGTTTAGGTTTTTATATCTTTGTTCACTGAGTATAGTTTATGTATGTTGTTTGTCATATATTTCTCATAAATACAATTCTTTTGATTGGTTGTTACCTTGTTGGTAATTTACTGCAATTAAAGTTGTTGTTTTTTTGTCATATTTTTATGTTATTTAATTTTTACCTCTTGAAACCACGATCTCTAGATACCAGTCAACTTTCCCTAGAGAAACTCAATAAATGTTACATTGCCTAGGGAAAGATAGCATTTCCTAGTCAAAGCTGTTCATATGATCGAAGCATCGACATTAACTGATTGACTTAGTAAGAGCTAGCATTTCCTAGTGATTGTTAACATTCACTGCATGTCCAGCATTTACTGTAACATATATAACTTACGAATGACATCCACACTGTAAAAATCCTTAGTCTGTCTTGTTATGACATCACATATCCTAAGCGATTTACATACAATATTATCATTATCAATGTTGGTTGAAGCGTAACACCCAAATCATTAATGTCTCCGTATTTAACATTGAATGAGTGAAGTTATAAAGAAAGTCTAGACTAATAATCAGGCTTCGGCATCACGGAAGTGATGCTCATTGCTGGCCGATTGCCAGCACTACCGCAGTCGTGGCTAGGTTTTCTGCTACACCATCGGGAATTCCAAATCACAATTGCTACTTTCTCCAGGTTTTCCTCAGGTATACGCGTTCTCTTATATTTAGTAGGCGCTGCCGTAGTCACAGTCATATGAATTGTGTTGCAGTCCAAATTACTTTACAGTCCAATAAAGTAATAGATTATGGATAGTTGCAAGTGTCATAAATGACATCGTCATGATTGAGTCAAACATAAATACTGTGTGTATAGTGGGTAATAACAATGGAGATTTGGATTGACCTACAAAGTTGAATGAGTATTGTCCTAATAGTCGTAAGACGTCAACAAGTTTCGAGAAGTAGTAACACTATTAAGAAAGACTAAGATGTCTGGCATCACACATTAACACTAGTGGTGTGTACACATCTGTTCTCACGAAAAAATGCAGCAAGTAGAAAAATACATGTGACAAATGTATACTATTTCCACTTAAAACTAATACAACACACATATCGTGTTATATCACTGTAATCGTACATTCAGACTCTACAAAACGTAGTTAACTGCAATAGAAAAAATATATGTTTGCGGCGCGGCGTATGCGTCATAGTTCGTTCAATGTAATAAGTTAGGTTTCCCTGTTCAAATTAAATGCAATGGCGTTTGCAGAATGTCAATATCTCTATCGATGATAAGAATACAAGGCAATCCAGTGTGAGTCCAACCTTGATGGTTAACTTTGAATGACCAATAAAATTTTACTAGGTACTGTTCAAATGGTGGAACGTATCTAAGATACAGGAAACAGTGACAACCGAAGACGATGATGTTGAAAGCATTGTACTCGAGCCGGTGGGTGAATCGTCTGATACTGGAAGCACGTGTGATGACGAGGAATTGGAAAAGATCGTTGTTGAAGACATATTACAACAGCCGACCATGATATGCATCGTGCCACTTTAACGAGAGTACTATTTGCCGAGGCGAATGTTACAGAATTAGATGTTCTGACAATGGTACATACGTTAGCGGTCCGACATCATCTTACCAAAGTTGCAGTACAGGATATTCTTGATTTGATTAAGCTGTGTGCTAAAGCACCCCAGGAAAATATGCTTAACACCTATTATTAAGACAAACAATTTAAGAGTAGTCCTTTTGACTATAATTATTACTGTGTCAAATGTAAAACATTATTAGTGACTAGACAGACAATTCCAAAACACGAAATGGTCGTATGTCCGAACACGGAGTGTTGTCATCGTAATACTGCCGGAGCCAAAAGTGAGCATTTCATAACAACGGAGAATAGGGATCAGTTGAAAACCGTAATAGAAAATAATTCGAACTTGCCAACAAGTCCTTCCACGAACGATGACGGCTCTGTTTGTGATGTGTCATCTAGTAGCATGGACAGAGAATTGAAAAGACAGTGCGAAGTCCATTTTACGTACAATTTTAACATCGATGCGCACCAGTTTTCGCAGCGGTCGATGTGACCTATTCGAATGATAATAATAATCAATGAATGGCCTCCAGTTGATCGTTTTCGTAATACTGTTTTGGCTGGTGTGTTGGTGAGAACCCACGAACCCGATGTTACGTTGATGAGTACGATTATAGAGGCGTTTGCAAAACAGACAAAACGACTATTTCATGACGGCGTGTATGTGAGAGATACACTGTACAAGTTCGTACCGTTGGCTTGCGTCGTGGACTCTGTAGCTCGGCCGATTATTCAAAACAGGTTGCAGTATAACGGCTACTACGGTTGCAGTTGGTGCTATCATCCTGGGAAAACCGTAGGCAGAACTGTCAAATATCCCATAGATATGTAGAGTGACTTACGTTCAAAGGCGATTCATATTGAGGATTTGTTAGGAGTCCAGGCTAACAGATATGGACGTCCTATTCGTGGTGTGAAGGGTCCGACTACATCACTTCATTTGCCACATTTTGATCCCGTTTGGTCGTATTTTAGTTAGGATTATATATTTACACAATCCCATATATAGAGATGGTAACTACGTAAGTGTAAGTGTTGCATATGATGTTGCAAGTACCATATAACCCCATGGAATGTGGCATTAATAAATAGCCGAATATGTACCATGCGACCACCTCAAGAAATTCATCGTTTACCAAGAGACATTAGTGTAGCGAAGTGGAAGGCAGTAGAGTGGAAAAATTGGTTGCTTTATTATGCGGTACCATGTTTGTCGGGTATTTTAGACCATAGATATGTGGAACACTTGAGTCATCTAGTGGTAGCGGTGTATCTGATGTTACAAGAAACCATTTCTTCAGATGATCTCTTAGCGGCTGAGGCTCACATAACCGCCTTTATAACTGCGGTGACACCATTATATGGGGAGAAGGCTATGACGTTTAATATGCATAGCTTGTTACATCTCGCGGATAGTGTTCGCAAGACCGGACCTCTATGGGCCAGTAGCGCGTTTCCATTTGAATCTGAGATATACACCGTGAAAACAAATTAAAGGGCCTGTGAGCGTGGCAGTCCAAATAGCTAAAAATATGGTGGCTGCTAATATGTGTAAAGCAACTGTTCCGTCAACTCAACATTTAACACCTTCGTGCAAAAATTATTGTAGGAAAATTATATCAACCGTGCCTCTCCTTCAACGACACGTTCAAATCAATGACGTCGTCATGTTGGGTACACCTATTACAATTACTGCTCGTGACTTACCACTGACAAGCCCTCTAGATCCATCAACACTATTGCAAAGTTTTACGTTGTGTATATATAAATACCAACTGCTGAGAAGTACTCAGCACGAAGGATCGATATTGAGGAATGACGACAGATATGTGCAAACTCATGACCGTGAATTTTTGGAGGATATGTGAGATTGTTGTACGGAACGGTGCAACTGTGCATATATACGGCGTTAAAATCCATGTTCGGTCCTTGCTATGCAGAGGGGTAGAGCTACCACATACGTTTGAAGCGGATATATCCGAAGAAGTAATGACGTGTAGTGTAGAAGACATTGTCCGAAAATGCATACTGATCGCGGTAGACAATGGCAAGTATATCTGCACATTTCCAAAGCCTTTGCGTGTTAACGACTACTCATGTGTTTGCAAGTAGGGGTGCGGTATGGTACAGATCGAGTATCAGCGTGGCGGTAAGGCTAGTTAAGCAATGCAACGCAAAATCAAGTTATTAATATTATTACTAGTACCTACTGTGAAGTTAGTATGAACATGATCATGTATACAGAGTGGGAGGTTATTTGCACTTTTTATTACTATTGTCCTACATAAGGCGTGGACATTTGGTAGGCAATCATGACGACTATATATTACGATTATTAGGGACTATTGTAGATAATATTAGGAGAGTGTATACAATGTAAAAAAAATTATAAAATATTTGCTTGTATATAAAACCACACCAAAAGAAATTGGACGAATGCAGAAGACAGATTTGTACACTCTTTAACAGAACCAGCAGACAAAATGACTATTTGCTGCAATAGGTTAGTTGTCATTGCATTGTTAAATATTTGTTCAAATAAACTGCTTTATTAGGTCGCTATGATTTGTGATATTGCTGGTGTGTGCAGAAGGGAAGAGCTATGCAACATAAGAACCCCTGATATTGAAGATCAAGGATTGTTAATCATCATTTAACTACCACTGACTAAGACGAATATTATTATTATTCTGAGTACCTATTATTAATTTTGATGATAAGCCCTTCCACAGGCTATAGCCCATTTACGGAAAGAACTACTAGCAAAAAAGAACCAATATACAGGGTGTCTCAGAAATACGTACATTAATTGTAACCAGTAACGAAACTCGTGAAACGGAACAACTTTTTAATCTGGCATTTTTTTGAAAACGCAAGTCGAATTTAGTGTTTTCCCACCTATATATTCACGAACCGTCTATGTTCACCTCGACCAATAACAAACACTACAACAATAAAGTAAGTATCCTAGCAACCGTTTGGAAACTGACAATCATGTTTATGTCAAGCGTATGTTATTAACCGTTGTCTCGCTGAAGTTTGTGTGGCACAGATGTCTAATTTATGCACGACATGTGTTGAAATGGCTTTGTATTCAAATCTTGAATACACCCATATCGTTGTAGCCTGCAATGAGACTTGGGGAAACGGCGCTCGCGCCCAAAGAATTTTTTCAGGCAGCCTCCCAAATCGTTTGTCAAATGTGCTCACTGTTAGGAACGTTGTACAGCAAA